GAGAGAGAGAGAGAGAGAGAGAGAGAGAGAGAGAGAGAGAGAAAGAAAGAAAGAAAGAAAGAAAGAAAACTGATTCATTTCCTTACCCCTGATAAAATAACATCTCCAGATTCGCGCAGAGCCGCCTCTTTCGAATCGACATACAATACCGAATTGCTCATTACATTGTCATCTAGTTCTCGCCAATCAGGCCGGCTGGCTCCTACAGCTAAAAGATAAAATTGCCAGTTATTTCTGGAAAAGCTGGACGAACCGGGCCCAGTTAAGTCCCTTTCATGCAGATGAGAGCAGAGCCACAGACAGAGAGATTTGCCCGCAGTCAGAGACTATTTCTATTTTTTCTGCATTGCAGGATTCCAGTTCTACATTAACTCCCCAAATAGCTGGAGTTTACTCAACCCCTTAATTCCTCCAAAGTTCCGGCTAACCAAACTTAGCACGTGGTGCGAACAGAGCTGCTATTTTTGCAGTTCAGCTGGTTGGTGAAAATGGGCACAGAAGTGGGTCGCCTGACTCAGCCCCAGATGAAGCATAAAATCTGCAAGAACAACATCCTTGAAGGGTAGGCCATCCCTCAAAACCTTTTTTTAAAAATGGAGGATATAACATTGCTTTCAAAGCTTCACCGGTTGTTAAACTGGGAAGACGCATCCCTTACCATTTATATGGGCTCCGGGTTTCACCCACTCTCCGTGCAAGATGGGTTGAGTGGCCATTGTGACGGTGACAATCACATCCGCCCCGTTGACAGCGTCCTGGACCGAGGAACAGACCCGTACCGGTCCGTTCACTTTGCTAGCAAACTTTTCTGCATTCTTCTTGGTGCGATTCCAGATCCTAACCTTTCATGGGAAATTAAGCAGAGGGTGTGTGAGAAGGACCTTGGAGGCAGGAGGGAAAACCACAGATGGGGAAACGGGCAGATTGAAAGATTAAAACCACAGGAGGAGAGAAGGTGTAGGAAAAAAATTCAGGAGGGACCCTCACTAATTTTCCAGAGAGTGTTGTAGGCCACCAACGACGGTCAACGGAACTTTTTTCTTTCCTGGTGTAAATCGGATTACCTACCTCTTTAAAGGAGAAGAGCTGTGTGAAAAGTTCGTAGTGGCTGTAGGCTTGAACGCCAGCTCCTAAAATGCAGAGGACTTCTGAAACTGCAGGCATTAAATACTGAAAACGCACAAATTAGGGAGAGGGGGGGGGGAAGGAATTCTTGTTAAAACTCGGCTTTCTTCAACTTAAGACTTTCTCTAAGGTAGTGTTGGGAGTTCTTTGAATTGTGTTTGGACTAATATCTACTATCACTGCTTGTGAAGCAATTATCAGTAGTAAAGCGACTTGTTTTTACTAGCAGTGCCTGAAACTCGTGTGTTTCCGTGACACGACAAAACCGCGCTCGACTAAAGCGCGCCCGATTAAACCGCGTNTGGAGCATCTGGGGATGATGGGAGGTGCAGATTGGGGATGATGGGAGATGAGGCTGGGACATTTGGGGATGATGGGAGATGCAGGCTGGGGCGTCTGGGGATGATGGGAGATGAGACTGGGACATTTGGGGATGATGGGAGATGTGGGCTGGGGCGTCTGGGGATGATGGGACAAGCAGTCCTAGAGCATTTGTCACCATAAGTCATGCTGCCCGGAGCCTGCAAACAGAGAAATACACTTTTTCCTTCTTTATTCCGTTGCAGACTTTCTTCCTCCTTCAGCTGCCAACACCCCCCCCCCCAATGTTTGAATCCGGATTAAATATTCTTATTTCCCAAATGCTGAGATTTTTGTCTTCCATTCACGCCGGTTGGTTTCTGTTGCCTGAAAGTCATCTGGTTACATTTCGTTTTTTTGGGGGGGTGGGTGGGTTATTTTATTTATTTCACAAAGGATTTGGGGCGAGGGGCTTCATGAAATCCCCTTTCTTAAAACGGGTCTCATCATCACCGCTTTAAAACCGAAAACAGTCAAATTTACTTACTCCCTGGGGAAGGGGGCGGGGCTTTAAAAGGGGGCGGGGCATGAGTCCTTCCCACCTTCCCGCACATGGAGAAGTCCGCCGCCTGCCACCTAACAACCGGGCGTTCTTGCCTGGACTCGATGCTCCCCTCCATTCGAACCGGGACGCTCTAGCCCAAACCCACTCCACGTTAGAAACCCCCACGTAACCTTCGAACGTCCCCAAGCTCTATGGTTTTGCGCCGGAAACGAAAGGGGGGGAAAGAAGGAAAACCTGCGCGGGGCAGGCTGGGAAAGGCGACTTGTTTCCGCCGTCGCTTCCGCCAAGCTGCCATCTTGGTTTCCTTCCCGGGCAGGGTCGGCGCTCGGCGGCTTCGGCGACGATGAAGCCCCTTCTGGTGCTGGCGCGGTGCCTCCCCGTGAGTCTGTTGAAGAGGCCGTGGGGAAAAGCGGCCACACGGGGCAGGCCGCGGGGATCCCGGACCGAGCCTGGGATTCCCCTGCTTTTCCGGGGGTGGGAGCGACCTTGAGCGGGTCCTTGCAGCGAAGGGGGCGGCGGGGCTGCTGTTGCTGCTGCTGCTTCTTCTCGGGAAGCGGTTGAGGGAGAAGCGAAGGTCTTTTGGGGCGCTTGAGGCCGAGGCCTGGTTAGGCTGTCCTGGCTGGTGCTGCAGGGAGGTCGAGGGGTCGTCGGGCTCCGCTCACGGGGTGGGGGGGAAGAGGGGAGATCCCTGCAGGTAGAAAGCTAGCAGGGCAGGGAGGTCGAGGGCTGGGTGGGCGTCGTTCAGAAGGTCGTGCAAGCGGAGGGGGAAGTGCGCTGCGAGCGGACTGGCACTTCAAGCCCGTGTTGGTCTTTATGTTGTCCGCGTTGCCGCATTGACTGTGCCCTGCTGGAACTCTCTATGAAAGGAAATAATATCTTGCAGGATAAATGGGTGTTTTAAGACTCCCTGCGTTTTTTGAATCAGGGATGTTCTGCCAGGAGAAATTAAGCAAACCTTTCTGTGTGTGTGTGTGTACACGTACAGCATACACATTGGATGTCCTGGAAATTTTGATTGGTGGGTGGGTGGATAGATGTAGATTAACAGAAGTAGATTGAGGTAGGCAGGTAAGTATAGGTGGATGGATAGATAGATGTAGATTAACAGAGGTAGATTGATAGACGTAGGTGATAGATGGGTAGATAGATGTGGATAGATGGGTAGATAGATGTAGATTGACAGGTAGATTGATAGAAGTAGGTGATAGATGGGTAGATAGATGGATAGATGTGGATAGATAGAGGTAGATTGACAGAGGTAGGTTAATAAATGTAGGTGATAGATGGGTAGCCAGCTAGCTTGTTAGATAGATAAAGATTGACAGGTAGATTGATAGAAGTAGGTGATAGATGGGTAGATAGATGGATAGATGTGGATAGATAGAGGTAGATANTACAAGTTGGCCACTCCCACCCAGTCACATGGCCGGCAAGCCATTCCCACAAAGCAGGCCGCACCTACAGAAGAGGTTCTAAAACTCACCACTGTGGCGAACCCATGGCACGGATGCCCGAAGTGGCACATGAAGCCATTTCAGCTAGCGTGTGAGGCATTGCCTGTTCCTCTTCCGGGTTTTTGGTGTGCATGCGTGCCCGACAATCAGCTGGTTTTTGTATGCAGGGCAATGTCGGAAGCTCAATGCCAGCTGTTCTGGTTTCCGTTGCGCGCATGCACACTGGCGAGCTGATCGTCATGCACGCATGCGAGCCACCAACCAGAAGACAAGCTTCCTGGTGGGCATGCGTGCACCAGAAAGCAGAAATTCATTTCCCAGCATGCCCGCATGGCAGCTTCTCTTCCAGGGTGTGTCCGACAAGCGTGGGCTTCCATTACTGACCTATATAATCAAACCCCCCATATTCCTCTTCTCACAGTCGTAAAATGAGGCCAAACTCACTTAAGAAATGTCTCGCTTAACAACAGAGATGTCGGGCTCAGTGACGGTCGTAAGTCGAGGGTTACCTGTATGCAGCTCACCTTTCCAAACCAGCATCAGGCAAATGCCTGCATTTCAGTCGGCTGGGCTTAGGATCTGGGGCTTTAAGGAGGGGCTTCTCTCCAAAGCCCGTCTTGGGATCTCCCCCTCCCCGGATTGGAAAGCTCGCCCGGGCAGACCCCTCGGGGCTTACCCGTTGTGCTTCTGGATCGGGACGACGGTGCGCAGCGGCTGCACCACGCCGCCCTCGGCCCCGCTGGAGAAGGCGGCCAAGGCGGCTTCGAGAGCCGAGAGGAGGGCGCCGGAGGCGGGCCAGTGTTTCTCCACGGCCCCGGCGTCCAGGAAAACCGGCGCGGAGTTCATGCTGGCGGCGGGGATGGAGGCGAGCTGGCCGGGCGGGCAGGGAAGCGGCTCGGGCACCGCCCATGCCTGCTCCCCACCCACCCCGCGCCTCTCGCAGCGCCCAGCACCGCCTAGCGGAGTCGGGAGCCCATCTCTGCCCGTCCGCGCTGGAGAAGGGAAGCGGGCGCCCAGGGTGGCCCAACAGCGGCTCTTCCCACGAGAAATGGGGGTGATGGGAGATGCAGGTTGTGGGTTCTGGGGATGATGGGAGGTGCGGTCTGGGGATGATGGCATGTGCGGGCTGGGGATGATGGGTGGTGCGCGTTGGGGCGTCTGGGGGTGATGGGAGATGAGGCTGGAGCATCTGGGGTGATGGGAGATGAGGCTGGGGCATCTGGGGATGATGGGAGGTGCGGACTGGGGCATCTGGGGTGATGGGAGATGAGGCTGGAGCGTCTGGGGATGATGGGAGATGAAGTTTGGGCGTCTGGGGATGATGGGAGATGAGGCTGGAGCATCTGGGGTGATGGGAGATGAGGCTGGGGCGTCTGGGGATGATGGGAGATGAGGCTGGAGCATCTGGGGTGATGGGAGATGAGGCTGGAGCATCTGGGGTGATGGGAGATGAGGT